GGTTTTAATTTTTAGAGAAATGGTTTCTCTGTTTGACAGCCCTGACTGTCCTAGAACTCGCCTTTAAGACCAGGTTGGCCTCTAACACACAGAAATCCACCTACCTCTGCTTTCCAAGTGCTGGGATTAAAAGCATGAGCCACCACTCCCACCTTGCTTTTTACTGTCAATTGCTTTGTTTAACTGACTTATCCAGGACATGAAGCCAGCCCTAGCATGTTGGTGTCCATGTCTTCATTTGTCTGTAGCAGTGTGGATTTAGTTCTGTGTCCTCTATTCTGTTCTATGTTCTGCATGTAGGTTTTGGGGCAATACCATGTTTATTTTGCTACCATGAGTCAATAATATAATTCCACTATGATACCTTTATCAAGTGCTCTTCTATTCAAGATTGGCTTGACTTACTGAAGCTTCTTTGCTTCCATGATTTTCTCCCTCTATCCATATGGGTATTGGAATTTTGAAGGAGATCACACAGATTGATTTTGATAATATACCCAATTTCAAAACACTTATTTTATAGCTCATGAACACGAAGGATCTTTCCACTGTCTAGTATCTTCTCTAATTTCTTTCTTCCTGGCTTTGCAGCTTCTTCCCTCCATTCTGCAACTGTGTTATTCCTAGGGGCAGGTCTGATTGCTTCCGGAATTATCTTCCTAAATTAGCTCCAGCCTTACTTGTTAAGAAATTGCCTTTGGGAGAAAACCAACCTCTTAGGCTTTCTACTTACATAGGTTGACCACTTACTAGATGGTCTATTGCTCTCCAACACCCTTCCTATTATTTAACTATAGAGCAACACGCCGCTCTGTAAGAGTACTAACCTTATATCTATTTCTCTCTCTCTCTCTCTCTCTCTCTCTCTCTCTCTCTCTCTCTCTCTCTCTCTCTCTCCATATGTCTTGAATCTACCATTAAGCTTCCTAATGTTCTTTTGCTCTTCAAAATATGTGTTTTATTTATTTCTGAGCTACTTTGTTCTTTTTATGGTAGATCTATGTAAAAGTTAGCAGTAATAACCACAGACTCAAAATTGTGCTGTTTGGAAATCTTTTCTTTCAGAGAAATGAATCCATTGATTTTAACTTTAGCTTTACATGAGTTCTTATGACAAAGACAGATGGCAGCCAGACTCTGACAAAATATACAAATGACGTCCAAGTCAGTAGTAGTTACAAACTCTGCTTCCCTTTGGAACTCATGAGCTAAACCACCACTGTATATTATACTCAGGACTACAGTCCTCTAGGCTTGTACAAGAATGGTTTCTCGTTGGGCAGTGGTGGCACACGCCTTTAATCCCAGTACTTGGGAGGCAGAGGCAGGTGGATCTCTGTTAGTCTGAGGCCAGCCTGGTCTACAAGAGCTAGTTCCAGGACAGGCTCCAAAGCTACAGAGAAACCCTGTCTCAAAAAAAAAAAGAATGGTTAATGGTTTCTCAAGCTCTAATTATAGCAATGAATCATTTTCCTTTTTACAAGGTCCAATATCTTCCACAAATCTCCAAAAAGAAATGAATGTTCTTCTATTGATTCTACTTCATGGATGGGCTTTGTGGGAGCCTAGTCTGTTTGGATGCTCACCTTCGTGGACCTGGGGGAAGCAGGGAGGACCTTGGACTTCCTATAGGGTCGGGAACCCTGACTGCTCCTTGGACTGGAGAGGGAGGGGGAGCAGGAGTGGGGGAAGGGAGGGAAGTGGGAGGAGGGAAGGAGGTGGAAATTTTCAATAAAAAAAAACAAATAAATTGAAGAAAGAAATATAATCTAGGTGAATAAATACAGTGTGACTTCCAACTCCAGCAAAGATAGCAAAGGAGAAAGATAGTCAATGTCGTAGTTAAAAAATACATGGTGAAATATGATTTCCTGATGCTATATTTGTGTCTACAATAAATAATAAAAGTCCAAAAACTAAAAAAAAAAGTCCAAATCCAGGATCAATATTAGTTACTTTCCCATGTTGTAACAGAACTCTGTGGCCAAAGACAAATTACTCATTAAGTAGTCTATTTTGGCTATATTTTTAGAGGGAGTTTCCAATATTGCATGAAAGACATGGCAGCAGGGACCAGGGCAAGAAATGGAGAAATCATAGTTTCATCAACATGAAGGAAACAAAGAGAGCAAACTGGGGTGGACCAAGGCTATAAACTTACTCAAAGTCCATGCCCAGAGACATTCTTCACTCAGCAAGTCTCTACCTCCTAAAGGTTTCAGTACTTTTTCAATCACCACCATCAACCAGTATTCAAATATGTAAGCCTAAGATGGCTAGTTCTCATCTAAAGCACCACAGATACCATTAGTGCCCAAGTATCTCACCCTGCCATCCTCTGATAATATTTCTGCCCTGCATGTTTCTTCAGATATTACATGACACAGAGTATCCTTGGGGACTCCTGATCTGCATGTAGTCCAAGAATTGAGTAGCCAAGAAAGCTGGAGAGTGGGCTCTGCCTTGCCCAACCATCCAGGTGTCTATACCATCTTACAACCCTCAATTCAGGTTGTCGCAGCCACTGTTTCTGGTCAGGTTATTGACACTGATCTCTACTAGACAAATTTAGAATTCAGATTCCAGGTCCATCTATGGAACTTAACATTTCGTGATCCTTCTTAATTGAAGCTCAGATTGGTTCCAGAATTGTGAGAGTCAGAGGATGAACCCCAGCATCTCCTAACAAGACCTTGTCCACCCTCTTCCTCAGCCAGCTATATAAACAAGACTCTATGAAAAGAAAGAAAAGGGGTCTATTCAGTGTAGACACATTGAGAAGAGGATCGAAAAGGTCCAGTGTTCCCAGATCCATATCTTTGCTTAGGGTCCTAGCATTAGGTTCGAATTAAATATTGGCCCAGAGATGTGCATAGCTGGGTAATGATGGGATCCTACTCATAGTCTTTGTCTAAACTTCAGTCTCTATCTAAGATAGCTTGAAAAGTTGTCAATACAAGTGAAATCCCTTTCTGGGAGACAAACCCCTTCTCTGTTTTGCATTTAGCATCTACTCTTTTCCTTCCTGGAGAAGATTCAATTTCTTAGAATGCATTATGTCAGTGGTTTAATAATGAATGGAGAGTCACAAATGTCTCTTGAATTTCTTCATTCCTGCCAGGATAGTTCCATTACCCTACTCTTGGTTTTTACAGCTCAGCCTTGTGAAATATACCTCATCGACAGATAACACAAGCAAGAACACAGTTAGAGCATATTCAGTTAGTGTTTGATTTCTATATGTTAAACTTACCTGCCTTTAATTCTGGTAATTTTCACATCATACATATAGCCTAGACACACAGATCTACATATTTCCATGGAGATTTGAAGATACATAGATCATAAAATGTACTGAATCAATTTTTAAAACATTTCTCTTTAATCATGTTATGTATCTCTGTATGGGCATGTCCATACGATTTCAGGGAACTGCAGAGGCCAAGGCATCAATATCTCTTGCAGCTGGAGGTACAGGTCATTGAGCCACCTGATATGGGTGATCAGAATCAAAGTTTGACCCTGTTTAAAAATTATCAGTGCTCTTAACCACTGAGTCACTCTCCATCCCCCATATCACTTAAAAATACTTGCTTATTAATCATCATTTCAACCACTTGCAAAGGGAATGTTAGTTTTCTTCAATGGAGTCTCACTGGGTATATAAATCACTCTTAAGGCTAGGCTCCATACCCAGTAGTAGAAGGCTAACACAAAAATGGGCTCAGTGGTGTTCTTATGGAGTTTTTTGTCTCATAATGTTTTTTGAGGTATTTTTGTATTACTTGTGTTTTGCTTGTATATTGGTTTCTGATTTTGCTTGGCCTATTAGCTCTAACTTCTGATTGGCCGGTTCTTACATATTAATATAGCCCATTTCTATTAATCTGTGTATTGCCACAAGGCTGTGGTTTATGGGGTAAATTTCAGGCGTCTGTCTGCAGCAGGGCTCCAAGGTTTTTCTCTGACTCTGCTTTCTTTGTCCCAACATTCAGTTTAATTTTCCCTGCCTAGCTCTATTCTACTCTATTATGGGCTCAAGACAGTTTCTTTATTAACTAATGGCATTCAGAGCATACAGAGGGGAATACCACATCAATTGCCTTTACCATGGAACAAACTTCTTAGCCTATAAATTCTATTTTAAAGATAACTTTTTCCCATCTAATTAAAAGGAAACCAATACTCTAAGTTTAATTGCTTTAAATATAAAGCAGAGAAAATTCCTTATGAACAGTACTTTTGCTTGGCAACCTACTTATATATAATTCTCTTCTTTTAAGAATTACTGTTTGTAAGCCTTTTCAATTCTTTCTATATTCCAGACAACTAGTCAATGCCGTTTATAGATATAGCCGTTGTGCATTCAGTAGAAGCTTATCTGAAAACTGAAAAGTAAACAAACTTTGTACAGTTTGTTATGCTACATCTGTCATTTTGCACAGATTATTTTATATGTTTATATACATATACAATTCTACAGCTATTATAAGAACATTTTATATTGCAAAAACAAATATTCCTTTTAATGATACAATGAAACAGAAACACTAAAACCTAACAGTGTATTTTTGTGATACTAGTTTTAGCTTGGTAATATTATAATGGGTACACCAAGCTAGATGTTAAAATATCAACTCATAACTTTATTTGCAATAAAAATATATTATTAATTTAACAATTACCTCATGTGATACAGATGAAATACATGTCAATACAGACAAGATATATGCCTATATATAAACAAAAGCCCAGAAATCATATAAAGTGAGCTCTAATCACAGACTGATTCTAAAATCAGTCTTTCAAATTTATCTCTTATTTGCCAAACAGAAAGCATTTTAGTAATTACATTCCTTCCATTTATTTTCCTGAGATAGAATATTTTGGTCCTCTGAAACACTGAGGTAGAGAAGAAAAGGGTTTGTTTTGCCTGATACTTTCAGGGGATAAAGTTTGTTATAATGGTGAAGGCATTGCACCAGGAGAATGAGACTCACCCACTGGGAATGGGAAGGCAGCCAGACCATAAATCATCTTCACACAGGAAGCTGAGAGAGAAAAACGGGAAGTGGGGTCAAGTTAAATTAACTCAAGTTCACCTAAAGTAACTTACTTGTTCTAGGAAGGGTCCACTGCTTAAAGGACTCCTGAAGCATTCATATACTGACACAGACACACTCATAGACACACATACACACACACAGAGAGAGAGAGAGAGACAGAGAGAGAGAGACAGAGACAGAGACAGAAAGAGGCAGAGAGACAGGGAGAGACAGAGAGAGATTTTAAATCAGGTATGCCAAGAATAGCAATTTTAACAATATTTTCAAAAATAAATGCAGAAATGAAGTGCTCAGAGTGTTGTTTGGTTTTTTAGGAACTCTGGAGGAAGATATTTTTCTCCAAAACAATTTTAGGAATCATCCTGAGTTTAAAAGATCTAATCTGCTGTAACTCAGGAATGCCAAGACAGGGAAAAACATACTTTCTATGATTGCACAAATGTCAATAGAGATTTCCTCAATGTGCTGGTGAATGGGTGTTCCCGTAAAGAACTTTCCTCTCTGCCTCTTCTGCAAGGCTGATTAACAGATTAGAACTGCAATGATTGTGGAGAGGTTAAAGTGCTGCAACCCCAGGGCCAGATCCAGATAAACTTTAATTCCCTTCATAGTCACCAATAACCTGTCTTTGAATATGACCGAGAGTGAAAACTTTGGGATATATTAATTGAACAAATTAGTGACTCGTGCCAATCAAAACACTGAGATTATCATCACATAGCAAGAGCCTCTGAATCTCTACCAGATATTTCTGATATTGATATTTCTATCAATGTATTTGAAAAGTCCCATGGTTTATAACTTTCTTTGTTACCATAACACTTCATGAAATTGTCACCACATGGGAACATGAAATTTATTGTTAACTGAATCTGTGTTTCTGGGCCATGGTTACTCATATTTAGAATAAACTGTATCCTACCCTTTGTGGTGAAATTTCTGTTTTGTGTCAAGAGTTATGGTGCCTAGATGTGGAAGCCTCTTTTCACTGGATGAGACAGGAACCAATATGGATCCCATCTATCCAAACTGCCAGTATTATTTCCTTATGTGGATTTTGGTGAAAGCTTTCCTTGGCTCTAAATCCCCTTGATTTGTTCAACAGTAAAATAAATGTGGCTATTTTCAGATTCATATTTTGCCTATCGTCCTCTGATCTGGCCTCTTCATTCTTTATCTCCAAGAGGACCAAAATCACTGTTCCAATAAAAGGTGATATTTATGGCCTAGTTTAAGACAAAAACAAAATAGAAGACATCCCAAGCTATGCTTGAAAATCACTTCTCAATGGGAAGCTCTATCACCTCCATTTGGAGTCTTACTCTCCCTTTGAGGAGCTCTCTTTCTCTTAACCCTTATGCTTGAGTTTTCATTAAAAGACTTTTAAACTATACCACAAGCCAAAAATCCTAATTTGGAATGAGTTGTGTCCTGGAAAGTCTAGGGGAGCTCTCCAGGCTGCTGTAGATGACAATGTACAGCCATTTCTCTGTCTCAACTAGGGTTTGTAGGGGCTCCTGCCAGACTCCAACTTGAAGAATTGTTGATGAGTTCGCTTGACCATCACTCAGTTTATCTGCCTTTCTAAGCATGGCTTACAAGTTACCTGAGGTTTCCACATGGTGTTGAGAAAATACCATTGGAACTAAAAATAGAAATTAGACTTATCTAAACCCTATTCTTAGTAGATGAAATTATATATGAATTTCCTGGAGGACATCTTCAGAAAGGTTAAGCTCCCAAATGTCCCAAGCAACTTTCTTCCCTACAAGAGAGCATCCTAAGACACAATGGAGGCTTCTTGAGAAAGCAGTACATTATGAATCTATATCACACTAGGATGGTTATGCCTTCCCTAAATTATTCCAGGAAATTTCTGCTCCTTCTCTTCCCTTCATGTCTTCTTTGTTTTGAGGAAGGTTAATTGCTTAGAAAAGGGAGATGCCTGCTTCCCCACCCCCATGATTTTCTGAGAAGGGGCTGACTCAGAACATTTAAAGTCAAGATAGGAGAAATCAAACTCAATGCATTTTGATTTCTTAAGAGGTTCAAACTTTAGCTGTTTATAGCTTTGTACTAGATGAACATTGGGATCTTATCATGGTGGGGAACCATTTGTTCCTCGGAATATCAGTGGATGGAATCATTTCTGATCTATGGGAACACTCAGGATGTCTAGACAGAAAATAGCCACCTAAGTTTTGGTGATGACCCAATACCAGGAAAATATGGGACAGATCATCTTTATGTAGACCAGGACAAAATACAGGTGAGACTGGTACTAAGCATGTAGCTCATAGCTGGTTTATGATGCTATTCTTCTGTTTAGTTCCTCTTCTTTCACATATATGCAAATAAGCATGGGAAATGGAGTTCTGCCGACTACAAATTAAAAGAGAAAATGTTCTGTTTGTTTGTTTGTTTGTTTGTTTGTTTAACCTAAAGTAAAGTTGAGAGTGGTAGTTTTTCTGTAATGACACTTCATCCTCAGATGACTACCTCTAAAATATAAAAGAATGTTGCCTTAAGTTTATATGATAAACTTGAACTTTTGATCATTTTACTCAGCCTTCCGCATATCATAAAAAGATAGGGATATATAAGCTCTCTACTTGGTTAATATACTGTGCACACCTGCATTGCATGTAATAGTGTCTAGTCTAAGATACATATTTCCACATGTTGTTTTTGTATCACATAAAAACTGATAAATCCTGTCATCATTTCAATTTCATTTATTTGCATTGAATACTGATATAGGCACATATATACGTATAAACATGTATATATGCATATACGTAGGATGCTCAATTAAACTGCACAACTGCGTATAAATGTGAGTGTGTGAGTTATTTTTAAAAGACTTGATGAATGTGCACTGCCTTATATGGGTAGGCTAAAGATCTTCAAACTTGTTAAAATGGTATTTGGGGTCAATTAAGTGTTTTATAAAAACCTTAACATGTTACTGTTTATATAAGGCACCATTCATTGGAATTGAAGAACAAATGTTTAATCAAGCTATAAAATTTAATATTAATACACATAGATTTTGATAAGGATGTTCTTCCAAAACAGGCTACAATGAAAAAAATTGAATAAAATTTATTTCAGTTAAGTTATAGTCATGGAAAAAATAAGAATTATATGTCATACCATGCTTTATGTTAATCAAAACACCTCTTAGCAATATATCTTAAAAATACTTATTTAAATAAATTGTCTTCCAAAATATTTTTATCATACAAATAAAAATTCTAATAAATGCTCTTACTGAGCTGTAATACACATAATTAGGACAGATTTCAAAGATCTTATTTTTAAATTTTTCTTTCCATGATTATAATTTCAGGAGGGAGATAGAATCCCAACAGTCACATTCAAAACCTAAATATTTGAAAGTTCTTATCTCTTCCAATTTAAACTGCAGGAAAAGCATTACTTTAAAACCAGGCTGTCAATGACTGCTCACCCTGCCTAAAGACTCATCACTTTTCAGGCAAAGTTCTGTGTCTTTAAAAGTCAAGTTTTCGGTTTAATATTAACTCATACCTTTAAAAGGATATATTTGCTCTTAGAAAATTTATTTAACAGTTGCTTAGAGCTACAAAAATAAAACCAAATTGTGTAACTTTAAAACTGCCAAGTTAAAGATCTAAATAAAAGCTACGAAAATCAGACTTTACAACAAAGAATCCACCTTCAGTTACCATTATGAGCATCTATAAACTGTCTACAGCTATTTGGGTTTTTATATCCTGGACATAGTACCAAAGTAGTTTATTAGTAAGTGCAAATTGTCATTACCAAATGAAACCCAAATTCTTTTCAGCACCTTGTGTAACTGCCATATGAAGGGAAAAGCCACAACTCCAAAGGTCTATCTAGTTAAGCTTGCAACAGAGTTCTGACCATTAGGAGTAGGACCTGGTCCAACTGGAAAGAGTGCCTAAGACCTCTGCCTAGAGATGGGGGATTGGGCCAGTAAGGGCGGAGTGTCTGTGCTCTCTGGATCTTAGGGCCTCCAAGAGATATGGAGGGGTGTGATCAGAAGTGGACTGAGTAGATTATTTGAGAGCACTATAACATTAGGAGCCCTGAGCCTCAGCTCAGACCCTCATTTCTCTGAAGAGTCCACTTGGGTACCAACCATGCTCGCTACTGTGGGCTCCCTGGTGACCTCCATCTGGGCAGTGCTCCATATCCGGACTCTACTGTTGGCTGTGGTCACCTCCTTGTTCCTGGCTGACTACCTCAAAAGACGGCACCCCAAGAAATTTCCACCGGGGCCACGACGCCTGCCCTTCGTGGGCAATTTACTTCAGAAGGACATGGAGAAGCCACACGTAGCAGTCCAGCAGGTAGGAAGGTACAGGATTGTCCAGCTGTGAACTGAGCTAATCCTGAGCTGATGTATCTGTGACTTTTGGGAACAGGGCGGGGAGGGGGGGGAATGGGGAGGGGTAAGCAGGGCTCCCAAGCTCATGCTCCTAGTCCCTAAGCCCAGGACAAATACCTTCTAAACATGCACTTTTAAGAAATATGCAGCTAAGCAGGGCAGTTGTAGTGGACTCTGTGAGTGTGAGGCCAGCCTGCTCTACAGCACGATTCCAGAAAAGCTGTGGCTAGACAGAAAAGCCCAGTCTTGGAGATGGCTGGGTGGGAAATGTGGGAAGGGGGGGGAGGGAGGGAGAGAGAGAATTGGAGAATTTCTTCTCTTTCTATGACATACTTCCTAGGTGATTGTTCCATTTAGGTTAGAGAAAACAACACTGTGTGATTTGAATACTTTAAATATGTCCAGGTCTGTGTGATGATTTAATAGTAAATGATTATAGAGACAGATATGTCCTGCTGCTTTAAGAAGTGTGTGTAAACTCAGCTTAATTGATTAAGGTGCTTCTCAAGAAAAAATAATCCAGGGGGGGTGGGGGCATGTTCTACTCCTCTTGACTGGAGTTTGGTTTAGCTATTAGCTCTCTTTTACTGAGCCTTAGTTTTTATACATCCTTGCTGACTGCTCACTTACTGATGATATCACTTACTAAGAAAGTCACAAGCAAGTGTCCAGGTCCCTTGGGAGAGTTTCTCCACTCTCCACTCAGTTCTGGAAGCTCTTCCCTAATTAAATTGGGAAGTTTGATCACATGCTCCATCAGTCCCAGTCCAGCTGGCCTTCCTGAGCTCCCATTAGATCAGCCCTGCCGTCTCAGTGGGTGGGCGCAATCTCAAGGTCCTGACTTCCTTGCTCATGTTCTTTCTCCTTCTGCTCCTCATTTGGACTTTGGGAGCTCAGTCCGGTGCTCCAGTGTGGGTCTCTGTCTCTGTCTCCATCCATCGCCATTGCCATCGCCATGTCATCCATCCTTCACCAGAAGGTTCTATGGTGATTTGCAAGATATTCATCAGTGTGGCGATAGGATAGGGACAATTCAGGTGCCCTCTCCTCAGCTGCCCAAGGAATAAGCCGGGGACATCTCCTTGGACACCTGGGAAGCCCTCTAGAGTCAAGTCTCTTGTGAACCCTAAAATGGCTCACTTAATTAAGATATATACTTCCCTGCTCCCATATCCAACCTTCCTCCATCCCAGCCGTCCCATTCCCCCAAGCTCTGCCCATCCTCCTCTTCTCCCTTCTCTCTCCCCATCTCCCCTTACCCCCAACCCACCCCCACCCCCAAGCTCCCAATTTTTGCCTGGCTATCTTGTCTACTTCCAATATCCAGGAGGATAACTATATGTTTTTATTTGGGTTCACCTTCTTATTTAGCTTCTCTAGGATCACACATTATAGGCTAAATGTCCTTTATTTATGGCTAGAATCCACTTATGAGTGAGTACATACCATATTCATCTTTTTGGGTCTGGGTTACCTCACTCAGGATAGTGTTTTCTATTTCTGTCCGGACTCTCTGAACGTGGCTGACAATGAGGGCTGACTGAGAAGCCAAGGACAATGGCACTGGGTTTTGAATCTACTGCATGGACTGGCTTTGTGGGAGCCTAGTCTGTTTGGATGCTCACCTTCCTAGACCTGCATGGAGGGGAGAGGACCTTGGACTTCCCACAGGTCAGGGAACCCTGACTGCTCTTTAGACTGGAGAGAAAGGGAGAATGGGAGTAGGAGGAGGGGGAGGTAAATGGGAGAAGGAGAGGAGGTGGAAATTTTTAATTTAAAAAGAAAAGAAAACAAGAGTTAATAAGAAACCAGAGATAATGGGACAATCAGTTTATAAATAAAATAAATAAATAAATTAGGAAGTTTGTTCTGTGTAAACAGTGACATTTAAGATTGGCAGGCGCCATTTGATGACTTAACTGTGGCTATATAATGTCCCTCCTTATCCAGAGTAAATTTAATTTTCCTGAATTTTCTCTGATCTCTTACACCCGGCAGCCTCCCCTTTGGTCAGTATGTGAAAGGATTTTGCTTTTCAGTTCCTTTACGTTTACCTAAACATAATACTAAAATTGCATCCATCTGGACTTCATATACTTGGGAAATTTATTATTCAGGTCTCATCATTAATTGGGAGAGATAGAACATGTCTCTTTACAATTTACATGTAAGCATTTAAACTCAATGTTTTATTGTTTTGTGGTTTCTCTATTTGCTCTGCTTTCGTTCTTTCATTTTTGGTTCCCTATCCTGCCACATGGGTTTCTTGGACAGTCTCCAAGTAGATGCCTTTTTATTCATCTTCTCTCTTTACATCTCTACTATTGTCCTCCCAGCATCTGCTCTGTGTTATTCAATACACACACACAACTCATGAGAGTTTGCTAACAGCATTTTCCATGTGAAGTGCAGCGACTACAAACATGGGGGAGCCCTCTCCCCTGTATGATGCACTGCCCCAGGTGCTGTCCCCACTCACTGAGACCCACATCCCACACTGCCCTGCTCTTCAGTGTCAGTGCAGCTGGGACTCGAAGACACAGGAGTCTGTTGTCTTTGCCCCTTACTCGTCCTCCCATAGCTGTCTTTTCTCTGACCTTTCAAGTTCATCATTTCCTTTCTGACCTCAAGCACATTCTTCTCCCAAACTTCAGAGGAGACTGTAGCAGAAAGAAACTTCTTAGCTGTTCCCCTCCACAGAATGCCTTTCCCCTCCTTCCCACACTGTCTTTCCCGCGATTGTAGACAACTAGGTTGATGATCAGAGGGACTCACATTTTTAGATGTTCTCCTACTCCTTACTAGCCTTTGTGGTTTCCCTATAAGTGTTAAAGATTTTTTGTTTTGTTTTGTTTGTTGTTTGTTTGTTGTTGTTGTTGTTTTGTCTCACTCCTTTCAAGATTCAGTTTCCACATTGATTGTGGTGGTTTTGTATTATTTGGGGCTTGATGCTGTTGGAATCTACATGGCAGGCTTGCATTTTGTCAGACTAGGAAGTTTCCACCATTTTCCACGTGTTTTCTCATCTACACATTCCTGTTTTCAGGACATTGGTGCACAGCCATGACATCTATGGTGCTGGGTCTTGCTGTTTGCCATGGGCTTTTTCTGTGCTGTGCATGGGAGAGCTGCCTCTCCCCTCTGCACTGCTTCTCTGCCAAGCTCTGCTGTGCAGATCTCCACAGAGCCCATGGCAGCTTGTCTGTCCTCAAATCGATGCCTATTCTGCTTATCTCTCTTTTCTCTATTAAGATGTCCCACTATTTGGAATAATTTTATAATAGCCACTCTGAAATATTTATTTCTTCCCCTCTTTCCAACATCTGTGCCATCTCAACAAAGCTGAGGTTCTCTTGGGTCTTTGTGAATGAACTAAGCAATGTCAGACTGGACATTGTGTGTCGTGTGCTGTAAACTGATGCACACACTAGGGCCATGCTCTAATTGTCCAGGTAGCTTTAAGGCTCCAGGGCCTCACTTTTGTGAGTGGCAACTCAAATGGAAATTTCAGAGTTTTCATTGTGAATCAGAATAATCCCAGTGTGTGCTTGGCACATTTGCCTCCTTAATCTTAGCAGCATGAGCAAGAGGGAAGATGGCTGTAAACTGAAGGGCCTCATCAGTATAGTGCAGCTGCAACTCACTACAGGAGGATGAACACCAGTGATCTTCCCATAATTGTCCCATAGGGAAGAATGTCCTTAGTGCTGGAATAGAAGGGTGGGAAGCAGAATTCTTTCCCAGGCTTCTTTGGAGATTCTCTTCACAGCGGTTCATCTGTAGAAGTCACAGTTCACCTCACAGGCTCAGCCCAAGAGACACATGGCAAGTGACAAGATGTCATAGATGAACACCCCCACTGTAACCCTTTGTAGGGTCCCCTTTGATGGTATTAGACTCTGGGACATAGAAGCAAACAGTTAAAACAATCTCAGGCCTGATGAGACTCATTTTTCTTGTTCTTTGACAAAATGGAGTAAACTTTGGTGGGAGGTATGCTTCTGGCAAATGCTATCATAAATAACAAATAAACTTCTTGTTATTTAATCTTCTCAGAGTTAAAATATTTGATCTATGTCTTGCTACACAGTCATATGAGGTTGGCTAATACATCTGGTGTCACAGAATTAGGTCATGGTGACACTGAGGCTGGAAGCATCATGCCAGTTCAATAATTTTCCAATTTTTTATTTCGTATTTTCTATGGGTTTACATTTTGATATCTGTGTATAATCAAATGACATTAAATAAATATTAAATTAAAAATAAATATATACAACTAGGTATAATTAAATTTTAATTCTTGCTATGAGTAAATAATTCCCACAAGCTGATGCATGGCTTTCCCTTTGGGGTTTGTGCCCCCTTCATTCACCCTCCATGACAAGCACACATGGAGTCACATTAGCAATCATCTGTTAGCGTTCCATTTTCCACTGTCGAGGAAAGGGGGAATCTGATTTCCCCAGGTTCTCGGTGGGATAACGGCAAAACAATTTCATGAACATACATAATTTGGCTCAATACAAAAGCTCAATACATATATCCTATAGAATAAAATGCCTTTAATTACTAGATGTGTTTCCTCACAGACTCACTCACTCAAGAGATATTAAACAAATACTTAGCATGACAGGCACAACACAGGACAGTCTATGGTCCAATGAGTCCTACTGATTCTGCTAATCAATTCTGATATCATAAGAAATTAGATGGATGGGCAGCTCTTGGACTAGTCTCTGATTGAATGATGTCACCAGTTGTGCTGTGCCTAGAAAGAATGTTTAACACGCATCGAGTGACGTAAAGGGATGGACATTTTAGATCAGTTTAGGTGACATCATGGAAAACAGGGTGAGGACAATAAAGAAGGTGGTTCCTTGTTGAGCATGTAGGGAATTTTCTTCCGTTCATCTCATAGTCTCTTAGCTGTCATCGTGGTAGTTCACAGAACTATTATAAGAATACTTCATAAATAAGAGAAAGTCTTGTTGGCTTAAGTGGGCTGCAATACCAACTTAGATATTAGCATATTGTATTATAAAATTACTCAATAAATTTCAAGTCAGTGTTAGAATGTCTTCTGTGAGTTGAAGCTCATTCCATTTTCTTTCTTTTCCTTTTATTCATCTTTTAAATATTATCAGAGCAGACCCCTGAGAACCCAGCTTGATTTTTACACATTACCAAGTACTTTTGTGGCATGAATGCTGCATGAGCCCATCAGAACTGTCTCTGGGTTCTGCCCCTCCATCTTTTTTATTTACTGTGAATTCCATGTGAGCAGGTCATAGAGGTTGTCCAAGAGGTAAGGGCACTTGCTTAAATACTTGGTAACCTGAATTTAATCACCTGGACCCACATGGTGAGAGGAGAGAACAACTCCCCAGAGTCTGTGCTACCTACAGCAGACTCAAAAAGACACACCTTGGTCTTTATCAGGTGGCATACACTGTGTTCTGCCTGTCCTAGACTGCATTATGAGGAGCTAGAAAATTTTCTTATTTATTGAAATCTATGTACTAAAATCTTCATATAAGGATACACACTATAACATCATCCACTCATTGATCCCTGTTAATGAATTGGTATTGGCACATCTCATTCTTGAAGATGGCTTGAGTTTAGGACATTACAAAGAAAAGAAAAACCATTTCCACATACCAAGGTGTAAATCACAGGGAAATAACGGCCCATCAATATGTTTACCATTTGCTACACATATGCCTTCCATTCCTGGATAGAGAGGTATGATCCTACCCACCTCTAACTATTGGAATATGATTCAGCTTGTGAAAAAGTATGGGAATGTTATCAGCCTGGATTTTGGAATCATGTCTTCAGTGATTGTAAGCAGTCTGTCTTTAATAAAAGAAGCCTTTACTCACCTGGAAGAAAACTTTATGAGTCGCCCTAAATTTCCATTGCAAAATCTTGTCTTTAATGAAAATGGTAAGACTTTCATGTGCTGTCAAATATGTGTTGTAATTTTTAAGATACATAAAAGCTCCTATATGCCTTATGTATCCATCACTCTCATAAGCCAATACCTTCATGAAATGCCATCATTAATGGGCACTGGATACCACATTGCTTGAAAGAAAGCATTCATCAGATGGTTTGTAGTGTGTCCTAGTAGAGACTGGGGGAAACCACATGTTTGGAAAAACTAATTCTAGATGCTTTGATAGGAAGTAACCACAGCAACCAAACACAGCCAGACACTGTGCTCACTTTTATTTTCCCACATCAACCCTAGGAAAATGGATGTAAGTCAGCTTTTCCTTTCTACTGTATCTTGCTTATAGCTGCTTATACTATATTATTAAAGTCATGAGGATCTCTGGGCTCCTAGCCAATGTTATAAATTATTAGTATGAATACTTTCTATTATTGTCAAATAAAGTTATAAGTTGAAGACAGAATTTGAAATCTACTAATCCAACAAAACAGCATCTTAGGCCCTTTCTAATTACTCTTTGGAATAATTCTAGGTCAATTCACTGTGTTATCTGTTGTACAAAGCAGAGTGCTAGACATCTGTTTTAGAGTTACTTTACTGTGATGAAGTACCATGAGCAAAGACACTTAGAGAAAAGAGGGTATACTCGGTTATGCTTTCTTATACACTATTTATCACAAATGAAGTCAGAACAGAAACTTGAGGCAAGGACCTGGAGGCAGCAGCTGGCACAGAGGCCGTGGATGAGTAATGCTTTCTGTCTTGCTCCTCGAGCTTTATTCAGCCTGCTTTTTTATAGAAACCAGGAGCACCAGCCAGGGTTAGCAGCAACCACATGGGGTGGACCCTCCCACACCAAACATTCATTAAGAAAATGCCCTACAGCCTTGCCTACAGCTCTATCTTCTTATGTAGGTATTTTCTCAATTGACGCTCCCCCTTGTAGAACAATTTTAAGTTATGTGACATTGATATAAAACCAGTCAGCAAAGTAAAAGTTAATGTCAGGGATTAAATAGTAAAGCAGTATCAATGCAGAAGGTGTATAGTCAAAGATTTCTAACATTGTGTGTGGATTCTGGAAAGTCTTCTCTGAATAAGTGATATTCATTTAATGACCTGAAAGAATAATTAGTCAAGGGATTATAATATCCTTGAAAGGACAAAAAGGAGAGATGTCTTGAGAAATGGAAAGACATCCAGTGTTGCAAGCATGGTATTTAAAAGACATGATTATGCACTGTTGAGACTTCTGAGCTCCATCAGAAAGAGCACAAGCAGTGTTTGCTAAATACTGATTTTTATTCTAGCAGCCAGGAAGACATCTCAGTGGTTTCAAGCAGAGGAGTTCTTAGGATATCAGGTAGAGAGAGAGAAGGAAAGACATTAAGAAACTTGTTTTAGAGATGAAGGGTGGAAGCTTACACTCTCCAGTTGCTAAACTAAACTGAGAATTAGACCAGGGTGATGGCATTGAAGCCTTATAAACACATATCCAAGGATGCCAAGAGGATGCCAAAATGACTCCATGATCTAGATGCCAGGAAATCAGGATACTGAGATACTCCATCAGAAGTTTGATGGCTAACCTTGGTTGTCAACTTATCTGCATTTGTAACCAACTAAAATCCTCAAAACAGGGAAAATAAATGAGGAGTCTTGCTTCTTTGGAATTTTTGAGGTGAGAAGATCTACCCTAAATCTGCATCACTGGAGATCAGAAGACCCATTCTAAATTTGGGCCACACCTTCTGCTGGCAGCCCAAATAAAAGGACATGGAAAAAGGAAACTTTTGCCTTTTGCTTTCTCGTCCTTCCTCTCACCAGCAAGTACATCTATCCTGCTGATGAAGAAATCTTTCATTGGCATGAGAATCTACCTTTTTAGGATTACAGTGTATGCAGAAGACGAGCTGAGAAATCCAGCCTCATAGATTGAACAATTGTAGCATTATTGGCCTTTCCATTAAAAGACAGCCATTTTTAGTCTAGCTTATATGCCACTCTAATAAACACTGCTTTAATATCTCTAGATCCATTCTATCACTTCTAGTCCTTAAGAGCATTGGTTCTCAACCTTGGGGCACCACCCCTGTGACGGCTGAACAACCCATTCAGAGTGGTCACTAGATTGTTGGCTATCTCAAATATTTACAGTATGTTTCATAACAATTGTGAACTAACAACAAAAATAACTGTATGGTTGGGGGTCATAACAACACGAGGAACTGGATTGAAGGGTTGCAGCATCAGGGAGATTGATAATCACTGCTTTAGGGAAGCACAACTTGTACAGATTGTGGTACCAAAAGTGGTTCCTGGCATTTTGCTTGACATAGATACCAAGACACACACACACACACACACACATACACACACAGAGAGACACGCACACACACACAAACATATATATGTGAGTATGTGTGTATATATACATGTACATTATACATACACATGTTGAACACAAAGTGTAGATGATTTGGTTCTGGGGAGAATTGGATTTGGTCACCTCATAAATACCTAGTTATCATGTTACTTAAAATTTTACTTTGCCCTTGCATCTCTTTTTTTCTATCCATTGTAATAGTTCTGGGATATTCTGGAAATAACTTTTGGGTTTTTCTAAGAGTAATAAAATTAAAAATATATTAAAAATACTTACTAAACAGTGACAATTTAAGCCACCAGATGCTAGCCCTTATGGACCTTGGTTTCTGCTATTGTCTCTTTCTAGACAGCTGTCAAGTCTGTTATGGGCCCTTCTTCTTTCCATCATACATGTGACCATCTGTTTGTCAGGTAGTTTTACATCAGAATCACAATGCTACACAGCTGTATCACTTCTTTCCAGGATTGGTCTTCTCCAGTGGCCAGACATGGAAGGAGCAAAGAAGGTTTGCTCTGATGACTCTGAGGAACTTTGGATTGGGAAAGAAGAGCTTAGAGCAGCGCATACAGGAGGAGGCCCGGCACCTTGTGGAGGTTATAAAAGAGGAGAAAGGTGGGCATTCTATGGGGCAGGGGTGGGAGGCTGTGGCCCTCTCATTCATTAAACAGAATCCACCTAAGTATCTAAGTGCTTGTCCTGGACTGTGCACTGTGCTGAGCAAGGAGCATTGAACAGTGAACATGTAGCCATGACCTTGCCCCAGAGTTCGCAGCTAATCACACAAATGGTCATTAGACTCGCTGCTGCCTTAAGGCCTGGTCACCTGTCTGGCTTCCCAGATATGAACAGATTTTTATGTATATGTTAAACCTCATATCAAGCTAATCCAGAGCCTCTTACATAGCTCTCTGTTATGTATGTTTCTCTGTCACGTGGAATTAACAAACCACTGCCTTTAAAAGATGCACTGTTTCTTTATCAACATCCAGGACAGCCTTTCGACCCTCACTTCAAGATCAACAATGCTGTTTCCAATATCATTTGCTCCATCACCTTTGGGGAGTGTTTTGAGTACCATGACAGTCAGTTTCAGGAGCTTCTGAGGTTACTGGATGAGGCCATGTATTTGAGTTCCTCAAAGATGGTCCGGGTAAGCATTCTAATTTCTTTTATATTGGGAGAAAAATTGATTGGGTCTAATTCAAGCAGAAATATGTTTTTTCTTTGGAATTCCAGGACTATTTGAAGCTAAAATATAATGTCTTTGAGTTGAGTTTGTCACTAATTTATCTGTCGATTTGGAAGTTTCCAATAAGAAAACTTACTGTGTATAAAAAAAAAGTTTCTAATATTTTAATGAAGTTCCAACATTTGTGTGGGATCCATGCATGTCCAAATGCTGCTCTTTTTAAAAGAATGGAGATATTTATTGTTCATTTTGCCTTTATCTCTTCCATGTGATTTCATACCACACATGCAAACTACAGGCATACTTTCTAGCTATCCTCCTCTGTACATGTTTCTCTTTAACTTGTTGTCATTGTTCATTAATTGTTGCTCAGTGGTTAGACATTCAGTTGTTTCTAAGTTAAACTTTGTATTAATAACACTGTTGTGATTAAATTGTTCATGCTGCCACAAACACTTTTCTTGTGTTTTCATGTAGACATAAATCTTTACTCCCATGTTGTTGGGTTGTCTGTCCCTGTGCTCATTCCAATACAAATGTTCCTCTTAGAATTGCCTTAGTTTTCTGGTAGGTTGAGCTTTCATCTTTATTTGAGCTTTACTTTTTTCTCCATGTTTTTTCAATTTCATTGATCATTCAAGAATTTATTTTTTATTTCTTTGTATTTTTGAAGTTTCTATAGTATTTCTTGCTATTGATTTTTAGTTTTATTATACTATGGTCTATTTGGATATGGAAGATTATTTCATTTTTCTATTTTCTGATTTTTTTTTTTTTTTTGGTTTTTCAAGACAGGATTTCTCTGTGGCTTTGGAGCCTGTCCTGGAACTAGCTCTGTAGACCAGGCTAGTCTAGAAATCACAGAGATCCGCCTGCCTCTGCCTTTCAAGTGCTGGGATTAAAGGCATGTGCCACCATTGCCCGGCTCTTTTTTTTTTTATTTTCTAAGACTTGGTTCTTCTTTATTAATTAACCAATGACCTTCCTCCATCATTTGGTCATGGTATTCATAGCAACAATTGTAACCCTAACTAGGACGCTTGTGTGATTAATTTCTCTTTTTCCTAAAGTTGGTAGCATACAACCCAATCTGAAGGGGAAAGGTATATATAAATTAAAATGTCATCCCAATAACCATATTTATTATACGAACAGTTCATAGAATGGTTTCAGTGACACATGACTAATAATTACATAGATGGAAACCAAATATCCAGTTGCTGTGGACACTCAGATTTCTAATTATAATGCTGAGGTCACTTTTCTTGTACTATGTACTACAACTGAACAATTTTATTGCTCTTGTATTAAATAATTCTGAATGTCTCCTAAAAAGAAAGAAATAAATAAACCATTGCCCTCTTTAATATGAAAAAAAAAAGACTTGGTTCTTCCACAAAATTCCAGGTGTGTTTAGGGAGAAAATATTTTTGGTTTTATTTGGATGTAATTCTCTTCAGATGTCTGTTAAGTCCATTTGACTTATGGTACAGTTCAGGTCTGAAGGTTCTTTGTTGTTTTTTGCTTGGGATGGATTATGCAGGAATTAAAGTGGAGTACTCACCTTACCATAATTATTTTATGACAATCTGTCTGAACTTCATATTCATTGTTAATTGTTTTATGAAATTTGGAGTCCCAAATTATTATGTATGCATATTTACAATTGTTCTAACTAATGAAATGTTCCTCTTATGAATGTATTGTGGCCTCCTTTATCTCCTCTAGCTAATTTTGAATAACTTCTTTCCAGTTTCTGTTTGCTTCTTGGATTTATTAAGGTGATTATTGAGAGATGTTAATAGTCATGGTAATTCTGTCAGTGGTTTGTTTTGTTTTGTTTTGTTTTTCTGGTTGCTTGGATTACCTGGTTTTTACTTTACCTTGATTACTAACAAGGATTTGCTTGTTTACTGTGCTAGACATGATGGATTCCTTCCCAGCCCTTCTTTATCCAGCTGTTCTCATACCATTTATTCTTCCCTGTGCTCTCATGATTGAGACTCATCTTTCTCCTTCTCTGTGTTCAGCTCTCACTTAAGTATCTTCTTCAGTGCTGTCATGATGGTCATGTCAGTCATTGAATGTCAATAGAAATATTTCCATTAGAACTTAATATATTAAAGCTAATTAATATCCATTTTGCAAGGTGAACATGTGGGTGTGGATGTTGGTCTTGTGCAAGCAGCACCTTTACTAACTGGACCATTGTAACTCAAATGGGGGCCTGCTTGTTTGTTGTTATTTTTGTCCTGCCTGGTACCCCACAACTGTTTAGCCCCAAAGAAAATCACACATAGGTCTCCATAAATTATAAGCTGATTGGCCTATTAGCTCTAGCCTCTCAGTGGCTAACTCTCACATCTTGATTAACCCATTTTTCTGATCTATGTTAGCCATGTGGCTCAGTACCTTTTTCAGTGGGGCAGATAGCATCCTGTTGCTTCAGTAGTCTTGGCAGGAGTGGGAGGAATCAGCCTCTTCCTTCCCAGAATTCTCCTGTTCTCATTACGTCTTTCTACTTCCTGTTTGGTTTTCCTGCTTATATTTCCTGCCTGGCCAATCAGCGTTTATTTAAAACATGATTGACAGAACACAGACAATTCTTCCACACCAGGCCAATTCCTGGGATAAACCCTTTAAAACAATAAAGGGTTGCTTCTTTGATTTATGGTTTTGATATACTATGTTGTTCCAATTTAGTCATGTTTAATGGGGGATCTAAATGAATCTTGTACTTGAATGTCTTTTTGACTTGGGAAATTATTTCCTGTAATTTCATTGGATTCATTTTCCCTCCCTTTGCTTTATAGTTCAGCTTCTGAAATCAAGTCCCGCGCATTCCTAGGTCTCTTGATCATATGACAGTTCTTCATTCTGCCTGTGGTCATTATTTCCATTCTTTGTTGCTGCTCTTGGATGCAGCTTCTCATCAGCAATTCTCCCTTCCGGATCTTCTCTGCAGTGGAGGCTGTTGTTGGTGTTTTCTGCCTTGGTGTTTTTATTTGTTTTCTTTTGTTTTGTCTTATTTCGCTTTTGGTTCAGCTTTAAACTATCCAACACTTTTATTTCTTGTTTGTTTTTATAAAATCTCAGTTTCCTTGCTGTATTTTCTCCCATTCTGCCCAGTTTTTATCTTTATGCCGCCTCTCTCCTCCCTTCCCCAGTTTTCTGCACTCAGCTGACTTTCACCTCTAGAGTCCACACTTGACTCCTTTGCCTCTTTGTATCTCCTTTCAATCTCTGATCATCTTGATCAGAAAATGCTTGCACACCCAATATTTGACATATGTCAGAGTCTTTGAATTGAGTTATGATTTTCAGAGACGTCATTTGCCCTTTTTTATTATTACATTTATTTTAATGTGCGCATCTATTGATCAGGATATCTCTCCTGGATTCTATTAATTATCTTCATATTGATCAGCCTCTTTTCAAAGACTAGTATCATTTTAGAAGTGGAATCAAACCTTTCTGGTAACAAATTAAATTATACACATATATATAAAACACACTTATACATTCTGTTGAAATGAAAATGTGAAGGCTACTGTGCAATTTTCTGCGATATAAAGATAATATATTTAAAAGTCAAAATACTACTAAATGCAAGTGAATATCATAGGTTGTAAAAATAATTTATGGGAGAGAAATGTTATTTTCTCCTAATGAAAAGAAAATTGATAAACACTGTTACATGAATTCATGAACTAAAACTATAATAATGATAGCTTTAAAAAAAACACTGTCCACTTAAAAGTCTTGGAAAAGTAAAGAAAAAAAGGAGATAAGAAATAGAAACAATGAAAAAAAAAACAAAGGCAACTGACCCAGTTGCATTCTGGGTTGTCAAAATTTGGAGGCTGCTGGTTACATGAATGGAGGAAGAGATGAGCCTGTGGGCTCCTCCAGCCTTGCCTTTGACTCATGCTGTTGTTGTGTCTGTGTTGGAGCAAGCATCTCCTGTCTTCAGAAGTGTCTTCACAGATCTCTTTTCCTTCTGTAGGCAATGCTTTACGTTTTGTCATCAGGGCACATCTTCTCACCTCTCAAGACTTCCTAGATCAAAACCCCTGATGAGACTCTCAGGTCGGGGTACATCCCAAGTTTGGGTGAAGCAGGAGGATCTGCTGCTAGTACTCAGGCATGTTGCTGGCCTGACCTTGGTGTATAAGTCCTCAACTGTAACCACTAAGAGCAATCCTGTTCACATTCTCTGTGTTCCAATTTAAAAGGACCCAACCTACCTACCATCTCTCTCTCTTTCTCTTCTCTCTCTGTCTCTGTCTCTGTATCTCTCTCTCTCTCCTTTCTTGTTTTCTGCCAATTCTTCCCCAGATACAGGTCTTCCCCTTCTGTTCCTTCCTTTTCACATTAACTTTCCAACAATAACTTT